TGCACTGGCTCCTCAGTTCAGAGGCAAAAAACCAAAAGCATCCAACAGCTCCATGCTTTTCTGCCGAAAACTACCGCCACACTGCTCACCGCCAGCTGCCCAGCCACCACCTCCCCAGCTGTGCCCCGTGGCCGGCCTCACGTGACGGTGAAGTGGATGCACACAGTAGGAGTGGCTGTAGTGACAGTGTTACAGCTCGTGTCCGACACACAGCTAAGCCCAGCAAATCCCAGCGCTCTGCAGCTCTCATTTACAAACCCCACACGCTCTGCACAGGTACACAGGCTTCAGCGAGAGCTCAGTGCCTGCAGCCCTGGGGAAACAACACCTGGGAGGGGGAACCACCCAGCTAGCAGCACAGGGCTCCCAAACTCTCTGATGTCCACCAAGGATAGGCCCGCACCAAGCCCCAGGGACAAGGAGAGCTCTTCTTACACCAGCCCCAATTTGGGCTGGGAGCCCACCTCCCCAGGGCCAGCCCCACTGCTATGTCAGCACAGATACTCCCACTGGGGAAGCAGGGACACCTGACAGGACAAGCAGGACTTTGCCCTGTCCTGCTCTGCTCTGAGCGACTTTGCTTCACTCCCCACCACTGCCCCAGGGTGGCAGGACTTTGCTGGCTCTGCATGTACCTGGAAGAAGTGCTGCCAGCCAAAGCCCAGGGCCTACCTGCCGGCTGTTATTTCATTCCTCTAACAGGTCCATAAAACAGGGATAATTAAATCTCCCCTAAACTCTCTTCCATTTAAAATAAAAATCTATAGTCCCTATTTCATTAGCTGGCTCTGAGTTTTACAGCTTGATCAATTCCCCTCACAGAGCCCTGGTCCCAGGCAGGCAGACGCAAACACACGGCGGGCAGCTTCCACGGTGCGAATCAATGGGGATTCGCAAAGTCTCCTCTCCCTGTTCTTTGTTCCTCGCTTACCAATGGGGAGCCACATGGCGTGGCAGGGGGGGACGGTGTGTTTCACTGCTCAGGGGAACATCACTGCCACACATGGCTTCAGAGGTCAGATTTAGCGCCCAGCAAGAGCAGAGGCAGCAGCGATGCTCCCCCTCCAGCAAAGGGAGAGTGCAAGCATGGGGCCCCAAAAAGTCGACCACAACCCTGAAGGCAAGGCAGCCCACCACACAGGCGGGGCGATGCCTCTCCACCCACTCCGAGGTGAAGAGGGACAAGGCTCAGCTCTCGCAGCTGATGGCTGGAGCCAGAGCCCTCTGCCATCATGGACTAGGAACCAAGAGCAGCCACCACCACTCTGACCTCCTGCACAAAGTGGAAGAGACCCATCGCAGAGACCTGAGCACACAGACTCACCGTTTCCTGCCTTCCCCAGCCTTCCACTGCTGTCCTGCCACCCGCCACCTTCCCCCCACCAGCATGCCAGGCCAGTGGCTGGAGCAGCCGGGGCTCCAGATGGCTCTCGCCACCCCTGCAAGCCTCTCCCTCTGCTGCAGCGGGGAGCTACTGGCTCCTGGCAGCAGATGGAGGGACCACAGCAGCAGCAAGAGCTACACAGGCAGCTGCACAGAACGCCTGCCTGCCCGCGGAGCAGAGATCAGCACCCCAGGCAGCCCATGCCCTGGGCCAGCACCCAGGTGCCACCCAGCACCCATCACACCATTCCGCTTTGATCCAGGCATGCGTCCCTCCCTCCCGCCTTTGCTCAGCCAGAGAAGCAGCAAGATGCCACAGTCCCTGTCCTGCCGGTGCCAGGTCACGCAGCCCTGGAGGGAAAGCCCGGCAGCCCTAGTGAGCTCTGCCCCAGCCACAGACAGACCGCACCGCCCGAGCCCGCGCCTCAATCTCCACCAGCCCACCTGCAGGCCAGCATGCTGGTACCTGCCAGGGCACATCAGGACAGGTTGCTGGGACACAGGAATAGCCACATGTCACAGCACCCGGCTCCAAATAAGGCTGTGTGTGTGTGTGTGTGTGTGTGTGTGTGTCAAAGCCCCACCACCCCACTGCGACTCCTTCTTGCATGGCTTTGTGCAGAGAGGGTGACACCGGGGCCTCCCAAACACACCCAGGTGGCTCCCACCTCACCTCCCGTGCCAACCCCTGCCCCAGCTCTGCTGGCACCACTGCCCGAGCAGAGGGGCATGGAGGGACCACAGTTCACCTGCTAAACCAACCCACCACCCGAGGGGCGTGACGCCGCAGAGCACGGCTCCTGCCACCCGGCCAGCCTCAAAGCAAACACCCAAAGGTGACAAACAAAGGCACCCGGCAGGCGCTCCGCATTAGCAGTATTTTTAGACACCGCTATGGAGCCGGCCTTATTATTTTCATTGCAACGTGCATAATTACCCACCATGCACCACAGTGACATCAGACGCAGCCTGCTCCCCTCCGACAGCCAGCAAGGCCGGCGCCTGCTCCTCCTCCCAGGGCTCCCAGCCTCAGGGACTGACCTGCCCTCCCAGGCCATGCCCTGCATCTCCCCAGGGCATGGCCCCGCTGCTGCACACAGGGGGACTTGGGGTCCTGGGGTGTCAGAGCCAGCAGCGGAGCAAAAATGGGTGCAGGTGGCAGAGGGACTGAGCGAGGTGGTGATACAGGACAGCAAGGAGGCAAGCACGGGGACAAGCTCCAGAGCTGCAGACACGCACGGCCAGCTGTGCCGGAGCACAGGGCTGGTGCAGATCTTGCAGCCGAGATGCCGGTGCAAAACCAAGCCGTGCTCATGGGAAGAGGGGCTGTCCCTGCATGGAGGGACAGCACCCGCCTGGCCGCAGACTGCCCGTGGGGCTCAACTCCTGCCCAGGAAAGCAAGCCCAGAGCATAGCCCAGCTGCCCATGGCCCGGTCCCACCCGTCCTCTGTGGGACGGGGCTGCCCCAAGCCCCGCGCTGCCAGCACGGACCCCGCAGGGTGGGTGGCGTGGCATGGCCTGTCCCACTGCCCCAGGTGCCACCGTCACCACCCCGTCATTTGGGGCTTATTTTTTTCCTACCTCTTCCCCATTTACAACTTTCTGAAGAGTTTCACCACTTCCCCTCCCATCCCCTCTCACACCCCGAGGGCTCGCCCCAAGCCGGGCCCTGCTTACCGACCCCGGGTCAGGCAGGAGGGCCCTGGGGCCCCGGCAGCGGCGGGCGGAGCATCTCCGGGGTGTCCAGCGAG